AACAGGCCAAGAAGCTGGTTTTGTTACGGTGCATGCCCTATCCTGCAAGTGTCCAGTTCTCCCTCTGCCAAGCCTCAGCAGAGATGTACCACAGCCATTCCCTCTGTGCTTCTCACCTGCCAGGCAGTTTGTAGGAATTGAAACAGTTCTCCCAGCAGGTGACAGAACTTAGAACAGGACACAGGGAAATTAAAACACAAATTTAAGAGGCTACTGGCCATTTCTACCAGGCAAGTCTGCTAGAAACAGCATTATGTAAGAAAAAAGTATGTAAAATTTGGATGCCTCTGGCCCAATCTCATTGTAAATATCACCAGCATATACAACCCTATGGATGACTATTTCCCAATCTGCAGACAATTGCTGACATTTACCACTGCTTACCCAAGAGCTTTTTAAATGTTATTGACAAAACATAGATGATTTTTGTACATCTTTTCAATTTTCTCTACATCTCTTGGAAGCCATTCTGACTAAGGTACCTCATAGTTGAGCACAAAGAGTCTGGATGGTAATTAAAATACACAGAGTGATTCTGTCTGCCCATTCATCTATTCAAGTCACAACACAGTCATTAAAGAAAACCCAGAATTCATAATATGGATTATTAGCAGGCAGCCATTCTGCTTAGCCACCTTTTATTATATAGATCATTATTTTAATGCTGATTTAATCACACCTAAATCCTATGGGGCTACTTCAAAATCCTAGCTAAAGTGGAGACATAATTTCCTCTTAAATAGTTAATCAACTTGCCAGTATTTTCACCACATTCACTCCACTGCCACTGAAAATCTTGCCTTGCTTGTTCAACTTTAATTCTGTAAGGGCTGTGTATTACATTTCAGCCCCATATAAGTAACATACAGGAGCAGAACATGTTTTAGACAATTAATGCTTCTGTAACCAGAGTTGCTGAAAAATATGCATCAAATATTTATATAATTGGCTCTCCAGAGAAGTATGCCTCGTTCTGAGTGCTGAGAGACTGAAATACAAAGTCCAAAGACCTAGAGCACAAAAGACCTCAGTCTTTTTCCAATGCTCCATTGCTCTGTATTCTCATTGGCTTCAGGAGGCATTCATTAACAAGCAATGTCCACACTGAGTGCCTACAAGGTGTCTCACACGTACTAAGGGCATGAGATGTTTTCCTGGGAGTATCCACAGAGCACATTGACAGATTTGGGAAATTTTTATTTTTTTTCTTCTTTTTTCAGGCTTTTAATTACTACTGAATTAAGCATTATACCTGACATCATTTTGGCTACACTTTGTCCTTAACAGCTGACAGGAGATAAGCCTTCCCCCACTGACAAATTGGGAGCACCTTAGTGCAACAAAACCGCATTTTAACCCCATAAATAAAATCTACTGCTTCACTAAGCTTTGTTTGGCTCAGGCTGGGGAGGTGTTGGGAGGTTTATTTGGCTGCTTGGGTTTTTAAGTTTACATGGGATTTTCTCCAGAAAAATTAAAAAATACGCCTTGGAATACCAAGCAGAAAAATCCAATCACAACCTCCATCACCATTAATATTAACATGAGCATTGAGGACCTTAAGGACTTCCTTCCCCTCATGTGTAATGTAATCAAGGGAGTTTAGTGAGACATTTTTCAAACAATACTAGCTCAAAAATTGAGGTTAGATGAGCTTCTTGAAGGACAATTTACACTTTGGTTTAGATTTGTCATCATCTTTCACTTGAAATAATATTTCCTCTCCCAATTGCTATTTAGCAAAGTACATTTCACTTCCAGTGTGCTTGAAAACAACCCAGTTTTGTCAGAATAACAAGGCACATCTCCAGTGGCTTCTTACTCCGTATCTATTTTGCCTTACCATGGATAATACTAATTGAAAATGGCGTATGTTGCATTTGCAACTATTAAAGCAACAGTAAAATTCAAATTTAAGGGAATGAATGGTTTCCGACTAGGTGAAACACAATTATCAGTTTCCCTAGGAACAAATAACAAATAAAAACAAATGAAAACAAAGAAAAACAAAGCAACAACAAAGATAAAGAAATTTTTAAAAAAAACCAAAATAACAAGAACTGCAACGTCTATGGTATTTATTACCCTTCCTGGGCAACTTCATGCCCAAGACTGTCATTGTGCACTTTCTCTTGGATGTGCAAAATATTATCTCAGTTTAAAAACAGGAAAACAAACAAAATAACAAAACAGGAAGGTTGCATTAAGCAAAATTAAAGTTTTTCTGGAGGACAGCAATAACGAATGATAGAAAGTTATTAGAAAGCTGGAAATGTAGCCAAAAATTCCTCAATTCACAGATAATAACTGGGTGAATGGAGACAGTCCATAGTCTTGCCTATTTTCCACAAATTCAAAAACAGCAATATGCCTTCTTCCACGTATAAATCTTGCACCTTTATTTTTTCTTGTCCTCTTCTTTTACACATTTGACAATATAAGTGGGAATAGTGAGAATACTGAGAAATAGTGAGAAAAGTGAGAAAGGTGTTTATCCCTAGTTATCAAACACATAACAATCATAATATGCCGCATGTTAGCAAACATTAACATCGTGGAAATTCACACTTTTCCAAAAATGACAGCTGCAGAAATAAAAATTTTTAAATTGTTGGAACTCTATCCTGTGTTCCTAGAGATTAACCTCCTGATGTCTAAAATGTTTCAGCCTACAAAAGCAGCTTCTAGAAGAAGCCCCACGTCCTGTGAGGTTGGTAGACCCAAACCATTCCACAGTTCTTTGATTCAGGACATCCCATCATTTTTTAATTACTGGATTTTCTTGCAAAACCATAGGAAGATGATGTAAGGCAGAGAAACCAAGGCCTCCTCTAAACCAAAGGTCCAAAAGTGAAAACCCTCTAATATTTACCTTTGTAGCCAGATCAGACTTATCTTAAAACCTGGTCCAGAGTATATACTAGAGAATATATCTCAACTTCCAATAGTATTATATGAAAAAAATCCATTTCTTACATTAGCACTAAAACAAACAACAACAAATGAAAAAAACCTCCACCAAACATTCAGTTCGGCATCATCCACTGGAAACGTAGTTGAAAGTCTGCTGTGCTATACAAAAATACAAATGCTGCTTTAAGGCTGTTCTCAGTTTGATGAATTTGTAGACACATCTTTTTTCCCGAGAGTAAAAGCAGAAGTTTTTTCATATTAGCTCAACACACAATTTTAATCCACATATAAGGACAGCTGTGCCTTTCACATGTGTCTAATCAGCATTTTCTATGGAATTCACAGCAAGAAAACAGGCAGAACCTTCAGCATGTTCCAACAGGAGTTAACTAACAGACAAAAAAATCAGTGAAGTGAGAAAAAAGAAAGGAAGTAAAAGCCACAGGTTATGGGCAGGAAAGAAAAAGGATAAGGCATAGTCCTTCCAGTCTCTTCCAGTTTCTCGGGAGATTCTGGAAGGGAAAACACTTTCCCTTTTTGATTAGACAGCTTGTGCGTTGGGGAAGGACAGGAGGAGGAGTGGGGGACAGGAGTGACGCCATACATACACAGAAGTGACGGAATACTTTTTTTTTTGTAATTCTCAAAATCAATTCATTTTTTCCATAAAAGAACTGATCAACAATTTCCTGTGAACTTCCCAGTTCATTTACAAAAAGCCTTTTTCTCTTCATAGTGAAGACTGTGACAAAAAGGGATTTTTTGATCAACACTTTATGACATCATTTATCACTTTATATATTAAGAACATGTGTCATCACTTGGAAGGAGGACAAAACAGAATTTGTATCCAGCTGGACTTAGTGTAAGTAATGAGTCAAATAATCAAATCCAAATCTCCTGCTTGACTTTTTGGGTTCTGATGAAATTCAGAACTGAAAGAGGTCTCCAAAAACAGCTGTTCTCCTGGGTTTTATGCAATTTGGTTGTAAAAATCATAGCAGTAAGATGGTCATGTACTGAACCATAACTCCAGTGAACAGCATAAAAGAATGAGGGTCTGAGATCACTTTTTTTTTGCTCAGTGCAAGGGTGCCTTAGCCAGGCTATGCAGTGAAATACAACCCAGAGGCACCTGCAACTCAGAAAGTTAAGCAAGGAAAATGTTAAGAGTCAAAAGACTTTTCTATTTCTTTCTACCTCTGCCAGTGATTTAACATGCATACATTATGCCAAGCCAGTCAGCCTCAAATTTTCAGATTTAGTCTGTGATTTGCTCCACATTTTGGAAGTGTTGACTGGTTGCATTGGAAGCAACATGAGCTATAAGTTCTCAGCATGTACAAAAAGGAATTCTAAAGCTCTCAAATTTGGCGTCAAGAACAACAGAACACCTAAAACCAGAACCCAGCAGGGATTTCCCTTGATTGGATATAAATATCCATGGCTTTCAAAGGGGCAGAGAGAGGGCATAGAGCTCAGTGCAACAACATGGATTTGGAAGACCTGTGCTCAGCTGACTGAATGGCAACAGCCAAGTGAAGTAGCCACAGCTCCCAGCTGACGTGAGCATAGCATCATGCCAACATGACACACATGGGAGAATAAAAACATTATAGGCTGGGATCTTCTCCTGTCAAAGAATCGGAGCTGCTCATTCCAAGGGTGGAATGAAGAAAGGACACAAAACTTACATACGGCTGAGAAGAAAGCTGAGAGTCACACTGAAAATATTGCGAGGAAATACGAAATGTCTTAGCAGTGTTCCAGCAAATTGCTTAAGTGATACTTTCTTCATTTTAGCAATGTTCAAGTTGTTGGGGTTTTTTTTGGTAAGAAAAGTGTGTTTGCTGCATACCATAAGAAAATTTAGATAAAGAAATACATTTTCACCTGAAGTAAGGTTGATATTGCTACTCAACACTACATTAAACAACAGCAGCCACCATGTCTTGCCCAGGCAGAAAAGACCAAGCAACACATACACCTTAGCTTCATACTGTATTTTGGGTACTGAGCATCCAAAGCGGCCATTATCCATCAGGACAGCCAATGCCACATATGAGGAGCAAGTCTCCCCCTCTTACCTCAGGGTCTTTCTCAAGCTCCAGCCCTGCTTCCAGCAGGTTGTGTTCATACTCCTCCCGCTGCAGCCGCCTCTCCTCCTCCAGGGCGTCCAGCGGGCTGAGATCCACCACCTCCAGGCCCGGCAGCCCTGGCCACTCCTGCAGGGCACGCTGGCCATCGTCCTGCTGCTGCTGCTGGGGCTCAGCACGGCCCTTCCTGGTGCCTCCGTTTGAAACCAGGGCTGCAGAGGCAGATCCATGCCTCAGCTCCGGGGAGGCTGTGCTGGGGGCGTGCTGGGCCAGGCGTCTGCGGTAGTGGTAGGCCAAGACATAGTCAACCTTCCTCTTGCTGTCTCTGAAGTGCAGGCCACTCGGGGAGGCCTTGTCCCTCACCCCTCCCTCGGTCGCTTCCAGGTAGTTGTTGATAATCTGGGAGAGAAACACAGGAGTCGCACAGACAAGAAAGCCAAAAAGCCCAAGCAGGTGGGGGGGGTCTATCTCCACATGAGTACAGGAAGCCATGAAGAATCCAGGTATGACCTACAAATATTTATTTTGCACACTAGTCTCACTTCATTCCTCCTCTGACCATAATCTAAACATAGTTCAGTTTATCCCAACACATGGCATCCCTAGGGAAGCACAAGTACAGAGGCACACCCCAACTCTGTTGCCCTATTCTGCACTTGCACAGACCAAGGGGAGAGGACACCCACATTCTGAAAGGGTACAGAGAAGTGAGAATAAGGATTACATTATGGACCATGTGCTGTGGAGCAAAGCAGGCAGGGAAAGGAACTAAAAGCGGTGATGGAAGGGAAGAAACGATCTTAACCAGAATAGGAGACATATCTTTAATGCAGTTTAAGGTCCAGAAGGGCAGGACTGGACAGAAACACTTTGGAAAATACCAGGGATTAGAAAGGATATGTCCCATGAATGGCTAGCAGTGCTAGCTTGTATTTTAACATATGAAAAGACTGTGTGACTGACCAGTAACACTGCAAAAGGGAATCCGTGGCTAAAATCCTTCAAACCACCCACGTTGCACTGTCAGGCCCTCAAACTATCCCTGCTCCATCATCTCCCTCTCAGAACCCTTCTGGGATGCAGCTCCTGCAGTAATCCTGCCATCACTCTCCAGCCTGGATGGGAATTCTGCAGCATTTCACGTGGAAGTCTGGCACTGACACATTTGCTTGCACTTCCCACTCATTAAGGCAGCCCATGAGTTTTCCAAACTGTTTCCAACCACCATTTCCAGTACAATGCTACAGTGTAAAACCCTTCAGAGAGCTCTCTAGAGTGATATTCACTGGAATGACACCAGTTCTCCAGTGATGGGGGAAAAAGATAAAAGCAAGGGTCAACCTGATCCAAAGCAATCATCCTGTAACCCAATTCCAAACATTTTTGGTTCCCATAGGTGACTGTACAAGCAAAATCTTGACAGGTACCAGTCAAAGGTTTCTTTCTCTCTTTTTCTCCCCTCCTTATGTGTGTTGGTAGTGCTGAATGCAAAGTTAACCACTTGCTGTATAGCATTTATCTTGTTTATTAACACAACACAAATTTATGAATGTATTATTATAAATGTGCATGTTATTATATTAATCAACACCACCAGACTCTTGTTTTTCATTGTTTTGCTTCACTTTGTTTTCCACAAAGGAGCTTTCAGTTGTCATGTCACAAAAAAAAAAAAAAAATCTTGGGTTTACATGCATGCTACATCCTTCATCCTGTCACAAAACTACCACCAAATAGTCTATTCTGCACATCACACTTGCCACACCCTTCACATCTAAAGTATATATACAGTCCCTTTAGGCATATCCAGAATTACACACAGCACTGTGTCCTGGCAGAATATAAAACTACTTGTGAGACAGCATTTTATTGCAATTCCTCATTTCCTGATTGGATACATTTTTATGTAATACTCACGGGCAGCCCATGCAAACTTCCCAGATCCATCTCTGCCCCAGTGAGGAAAAACCCGTGGCAGATTTCTAGTGTCCCTCCCAGAGAGTTTCAGGCTATACAGCACAGAAGGAATGATGTCACCAGCAGCAGGTCACTGGCACAAGGCAATGCATTAGCTGGCTCTAGAGAAGATGAGCTCTGAGCATCCTCTCCTCCCTTACTGGAGAGTGTGGGCAGAAACAAGAAGCACAAACAAGAAGCAGGAGATGGAACAAGGAGAATATAAAAATCACTCCAAGGTTTTCCTGTTTGTTACTGTGTGGAGCCACCTGCCACATCCCAGTCACCTGAGAGGGCACCATAGCAACACTTGGGGTTGCTGGAGTTACACAAGGGATGAGGAGACCCAGCAGTGACTCTTCACTCCTGGCAGCAAGTAATTATCCCCATAATTATGAGCGTCCAATTCACAGAAAACAAAACAAAATTCCCACAGATTTCACTAAAGACATTTCCTGCCCCTAAATGTACACTGCTTGCCTTACCATGTTATATTCTGGCACAAGAAAACATTTTAGGGAGGAATAAAAAAAGTCACAATTTCAAAAATGTCTCTGAAGAAACTATCAATATCTTTCTGTCCTCTCCTCTCACAGCCACTGCAAAAGTCAGAAACAGTGATTCAAATTACCAGCTTAGGTCCTGCTTTCACTGCTTCTTAATGTTTCCAAGACAAGAATCCATCACACCAAGGAATATGAAAATGGGAAGGTAGGATCAGCATTTCAAAACTATTTTGTTCTAGTGGTCTGATAGCAAATATATCACTACAAATACATCCCAAAAGGTGCCTCCTGTAATGACAGCTCTCCTCTGAACACTACAGTCACACCACACTTCCCCTGGGAATCAATCCAATCCAGCCCCCACTAACACCTGGGCACAGCTAGCTCAGGGTTGGCACAGGCACACCCGATTTAGTGATCAACCTGCAGATCTTTTCTGCCACTGGGGGTAATAGCAACCCCCTCCATTCCTGCACTGAAGGATTTTGGCTCAAGTAAGCAATTAAGAAAAGTTTGGTGAGTTTACTGCAGAAATTAATTCTTGCTATACACAGAGAGACAACTGAACCACCTGAGGTTGTGATATCACTTCCCTCAAAGATTCTTCTCCCTGTTCAGATTTAACCAACACAAAGGAGAGTGCACCCTGCTCCAAGCCTCTTCATAATCCCAAATGCACTTGAGGTAGGTCAATGAACATGAAATCCTACTTACAGAACTTCTGTAGGACACCACTGATGCTTCAAGAGCTCTACTGGTCGCGCTTTTGTGCCAGGAAGTCCGGTTCTGAGGAACAGTGAGGTATTTGCTGTTGTAGGCTGAAAAACAGTCCTCTGCTGATTTTGCTGTCTTCCGTCCATTGAGAGTTGTGTGTGAGGAGGGTAGAGCAAAGTCTGAGAAGGAGAGATAAATACACAAAGCAGGTTTTATGCAGGTGGTTCCCTAATGGAATGGGGACTATTCATTTCTAGCGATGTGAACAGATCCAGTGGCATCAGGTAGAGGTACGAACTTGTGGATCATGGTCATTCTTCATAAAGTACTCTTTACGCATGTGAAATGCTCATGAAGTATACCTAAGATTATACCTACATGTTCTGGTCTCAGGGGCTAATATCTGGAATTTCTACACATGCTCCCCATTTCTTGTGTTTGACAAATTATATGGTCACAGTGCAGAAAAATGGAAGGTCTGGAAGGGATGGAAATCATCACAAGAAAGAATCGTAAAAATATCCTGGGTTGGAAGAGACCTGAAAGATCATCTCAGTTCTATCCCCAGTGACATGGGCAGGGACACCTTCCACTAGCCCAGGTTGCTCCCAGCCCAATCCCAGCCTGGCCTAGGCACTTCCAGGGATGGGGCAGCCATAACTTTTCTGCTGAATCTGTACCAGGGCCTCTCCACCCTCACAGAGAAGAATTTCTTCTGGCTTTCCAATCTAACCCTGCTCTCTGTCAGTGTGAAGCGATTCCTCTTATTCTGTCCTAACCCTGAGGTTAAGAGTCTCTCTCCATCTTTCCTGTGGGCTCCCTTCAGGTGCTGGAAGGTCACAATGAGCTCACCCCAAAGCCTTTTCTTTTCCTGGCTGAACAATCTCAATTCTCTCAGCCTTTCTTCACAGCAGAGCTGCTCCATCCTGCTGATCCTCTTGGAGGCCTCCTTGTTCCAACAGGTCAGTTCCATACAGACAGTAGCACAGTGAAAAATTCTGATAAAAACCAGTGGATACAGAAACTGTTTTGACAGAGAAATGTTTCATACTCTTTCCCCCTCTAGTGGTGCCACAGCTGAAACGGGGTTGAACGATCCATACTCTCGTTCTCTTGGGGAAGCTCTTACTGGGAGGGAAAAACCATCTCTTGGTCCTTCCAGCATTAGTGTTTTATACCCAAGAGAAGACACCCTGTACACATCTGCCCACATGGTCAGCACCATCACCACTACAGAGACAAAGCATCACTGCCTCTGTCTAGTCAGGACTTTTTTCCAGGAAGAATAACACCTCGCATCTATCCAGGGAGTCACCACATCCATTGTGTACTGCTAAAGTCTGGAGATTTTATTTCCCCTTCATTTAGCTGAGCCTCTTCTATCCCCTATACTCAGACTGAAAATGCTTCCCCACGACCACGTTCTGAGAGAGGAGATAGTGGAATGCTAAAGAAGGAAATGCTTGAAGGAGGGGGTCTGACCCCTAAATGTTATGAATTTTCTTATGTCTACTATCAATACCAGATTAGGGTTCAGCAGCACTTGAACAGTACAACAGGTTGACTCACCAGTCTTCCCTGTCTGATCTCCTGGGCAGACATGTGCTTGGATCACTTTAATGAAGCACATAATGATGCCACAAGGGAAACTCCAAGGAAAATAATTAATAAGCAAAGGTTTAATTCCCAAAGGCCACACACAATGTTTTGCCAGTATTTTCAGATTGAGTCTGGGATATCTCACAAGACCTTTACACAGTCAATTAAAGACCTCTTTTTCTTTCCAGTCCTTTTAACTAGCCTAGGAAAAAAGCTGCTGTTCATTTATAATACCATGATTTTATTTCCATTATGCTTCCTAACCTCCAGAAACCATGTCACGAACCTGAGATTAACACTGGTAAACTGGTGAGGCAGTCAGGGACTCCCAATTAGAATAAGTTTTTTTATGGAATTGCAGTTGCCATATTCGTATCTGGAAGACTCCTCCCAAAAGCTTTTCATCTTCCCAAATTAGACCGATTGAAACAAAATGTTTTGTTTTGCGTGCATTCCACATTTGACAGCTCTTGCCTGTGGTACAGCAGTGCCTCAGGGGCTTCTGCTTCAGATGCAGCCTGACCTCACTCTACCCTGTAAGCCACTATGACATCTGGCCTTACATGTTCTCATTCTGTAAGAGTTCTGGAGGAATTAGTATCAAAGATAGAAAACAAGGGGTATGTGTGTGTGTGGACAGAGGTCAGTGACCAGCTCCAGTTCCAGTGCCAATTTACAGCCAGTCACCACCTGCTCACTCAGCTCTCTGTACTCCTTTGCCTCAGCTTTTTGCAAACTTAAGGGTTGGCCACATGTGCAGCAATTGACCTCACAGGTCCTTGTCCAAAGTGCCACCACAAAGAAGTTGCACAGATTGCCAAAAGTGGAAGGACAGAGGGTGTGATAAAGGACAACACTGCTTGTAAAAGAGTCAGTAAAGAAGTCTGCCTTATTAGGAGCTCTGTATTAAATCCTGAGTAACAGCCAATTAACTGAGCTAAGTAGTCCAGATGATCAGATTATAGCACAGCTACTTGCAGAATACGCTGCAAGTGGTTTGGTCATCCAGGGCACAGACAGGGAACTGTTTTCATTTATCTTCTTCTCTTTCCAGTTAAATATGAGAAGGAATCTACATTTCTGAAAGAGACCACAGTTAGAAGGATGCTCCTCTGCAAGGCTTTTCAAAACATCTGCAATTTAGGAACACTGATTAGCAAACTCCAACCCCCACGCAGGGATGTAAAAAAACCTACTTGAACTTACTGTTTCCTTGTAGCTTTACTCAAACATATCTATTTCAAAGGATATAAATATATATACACAAAAAGATGCAGCATGGTTATACATGTGCTCTTTAGGCTCTCAGTAAATAATGAGTTCTCAGCTCTGAATATAGATGAAGTAGCTCAGCTCATGCCAAAATTACTTCACGTGCACATCTCCACCAGATTCAACACAACTACAGCAAAGCATGATTTCTTCCACTGTGTCTTCAAAACCACCATTTCAGTGCTTTTTAAGAATATAGGAATTAGACAGACAAGGCTGTTTGGCTTGTCCCTAATGCCACATAATTTTCAGCCTGTGTGTTCAGGGCTCACTCAGACTGCAGGTAGAAAGGGCCAAACAAGAAATCCTGACTAATGCCAGACTAATCCAGACAGCCTGGGTGCATCTGCCTGTCTGAACCCCATGCCAACACTCAGTTTGAAATGTTCTGAGCCTCCAGGACACCCAGCAGGAGAATCCCTCAGGCAGGACTCAGTATCTCAGAAGCATTCCTTTACATTTGGCTGTACATAACACAGATATCCTTTGCCTTCCCACCTCCAGAATACAATTAGAGAAGAAATATTCTTTATAAAGAGAACCATCCAATTCTGAGTTTAGTTATGGGGCTGATTTTAATAGAAGCAGTTAAGCAGGAGGGGTCTAAATACCTAAATAGTTCTTGAACTAAAAAGGGAGAAATACCAGACAGCTAAAACTTAATGGCCAAATTCTATCCTTCTATTATTCAAACAAGGAGTTTGAAGTTCACAGCAAAGATACAGCCTCAGAAGCAATAAGATAACATGGAAACAACCACAGAGCTTTTAACTGTGACAGCAAAAGAACAATGACTCAACATCAGCACTGAAAGTTATTCTAAACTTGTACACTAGGAACTCCAGCACAAAAGTTTTATGCACTGGCAGATTTGCTTCTTTTTTGTGGGAACTGAGAGCTCAGGGCTGCCCATTTTCTCCTGGAAAAGCATATTGCTCACTACCCACAGTTGCACCGCAATAAGGTGAAGGCAGGTGGAAACAGCAGAAGACCAGCACAAGGCATTTGCCTAGTGATTGTCTTTTCCACATGGATCAAAACACTGACCCACAGATGCACTTCTGATGCTTCAGGAGAAATGAACTCTGCATGCTTTATCTCTGAGTATGTAACTGGGCTGCAGATTTTTCTTTTTTTTTAATGTCCTAAAAGAATACAGAAAAATCCTTCCAAAGTATTCCTTTCCTTGTTCTCCACCCCATTTTGGCCTATCCCATTCCATAGGCAGCAATAAGAACGAAACAGAATAAACTTACCAGGCGCGTGTGTTTCCATGTTGCCTGGAGGTTTGGCTGGAAGTTGCGTCAGTACTAAAATAGGATGTGGCTATGCCGTGCACAATCTGCTTCTGCACCAGCTTAAGGAAGGAGCAACACCAGCAGCTATTTCCATCCTGCCTTGATCCTGCTTTAAGCAAACCACAAACTGAAGCTAATTAGTGAGACCACCTGGTTTGGTGATTACCGTCATGGAGGGAGAGAGACCAAGCTCCCATGACCTGAGGGGCCGTGGCAATTCTCTGCTGGAACTTCAGCACCTTGTCTTCATGTTCCGTAATGCCACAAGAAGCAAGGTAACAAGAGGCATATTTTTCCCAGAAGGCAGTGGAGAGAAAGGAAAAAGGCTGGTGCAGAACCAGGGCTCTACAGCAGAGCCAGTTCTGTCCAAAGAACCAGCACTCAAGGATCAGGTTGTCTTGGAGGTGGTTTCTGTGGGGAAGAGTGTCTTTATATCTACAAAGCTTCACAGTGCTTCCAGGTAGGAGGTAAGTGTAGAAAGCTTTCTATAAGGCTCTGTTTCAAGTACTCCAGTTACCTCAGTGCCTGAATGCCCTGTCATTCCTGCATGAAATATTCAGGAGTTTATCTTGTAATCAACTGTCTAATCAGAACAGGTGATGGATCCTGCTTAGCCTTCAACCTTGCAATTTAAGCAATGTATAGGGAAGAAAAGTTGTTGATGACCAATGCTATTTGAGAAAGGACTTTTACTATCATTTGCTAATGATAACTGGAGGGAGATGTAACTAATTTGAGCCCAAATCTTTTTCCTCTTTTAGCCTATTTATGATACTATGATGGTTTATCTAGTGTGATGGGGAAAAAATGGTTTAATTCAATGCTTGAATAAAGTCCAGTGGTTCTGTGACCTTGTGAATCAGGACAGTACGCTGTCATGGTTGGCAAGGGTAGAAATTGTCTCTGCCACAAAGACATGTGCTGGCGCACCCTGGTTGTGCTATCAAACATGCTGAATACATAAAGGGAGCAGTGCAGCTGTTGTGTCCCAAATTTGGGCTGGGTGATGTAAAATTTTCTCAGAAAGACTAAGAAATTTATATGGGGCTTTAAATTCATTAGAACACGCCACTCTTCTTGGACCCTACTTTGGCATTTCATATCTTCTGACCAATATATCAACAGATATCAAATACTTTGTCCTTTTTACCCTGCTAGTATCTTATGTTACTCTCAGAACATCTTTCAGAAGTTTTAAAAACAATTAATCTCTTTCCTATACAGGGAACAAATCTCCTGCTTTCTACACCTATCTCAGGGAGATGGAAATGAAAACTTTCTAAAGCTTTCGCTATTTTCCATCCACAATCTCTGCTGCTTCAACTAAGCTGAAAACCAGAAAGGCAAATCCTGGCTTATTCTGGAACAGTATAGGAATGTAGAGCCAGGTCCTGCTGGGATCCCTGTGGACTTATAGCTCTGACTGCATTGGTTCCAATTACCAGCTTCTATAAGCCGTAAGGATGGGTGTGTTACAGGTAATACACTTAGGTCAGGTAATAAATAATATACACAGCAAGATGAGAGGAAGCAATCTCCAGCTGTTTAGAATGGAAGTAGTCTATTTTTAAGACTTTCCAACTGAGAAAATCATATCTTTGCATCACTATCTTTCCTGACGTACCTGGGTATGGTGTTAATTGATAATGCAGAGTTGTGACAGATAATACCAATATACTCGATTGTGTTTCACCTGCTGTAGAGGAGTGTTTTTTGCAAGTCTGTAAATTTAGCAGAGAGATTAGATGCTTTGAATAATTAAGGAGTTATATAAGACTCCTCCCCAAATCCATTCAGCATTCCTGTAAATGTATCCTGTGACACACTCAACAATCCAGTTGGTGTTCTGAAACAGTGGGATGTGCTCCTAATCATTGGTGGAAAGGTAAAGACCAAGATAGTTCAAACCCATCAAGGCTCACAAACAGTATGTATGACTTAGGAAACAACATTCCTCAAAGCCTGGCTTCTGCTGGAGAATGCCAGTGGAGCAGTCAGATGTAGAGTACTGTGTGATGTGCTGGCACACTTAATTGTAGGCAGGACTGTGCTCTTCACTCCTGCCAGGGAGGAATGCTGCTAAAAGTTTTGGAATTGCACTGATTGGATCTGCCTGTGTGAAAGGCAATGAAACCTGCACAGAACAGGTCTGAGCCCACTGGGTCCTCAGGCAAAAGACAGACAGTTCTTTTGCGGCAGACTGCCTGAAAAAGTTTGATTCTCATGCCAGCAAGTCAAAGTCAAAAATGTATTTACCTCTTCAGCCTGATAAAGGAGATGGTATAACATTCCCTTCTGCTTTTTCTTTCTTGCCACTCTGCTTCTACAACAGGATTTGCAAGGACGATCCTTCTGGCCTTGCTCATGATGGGGGCTTGGAACACACAGGTAGTAGTAGTCAGGCCTGAGTAACATCTAGAACACACTGAAGTTGCCAGAATTCCCTGCTGTAAGTAAAGCCAGTAAGTGCTCTTCTCATGGGCTGCATTGCACTGACTCATACAATTAATTATCTAATTAGAAGACCTGTCTGCAGCCACAAAGCCTTAGGCTGCAATCCTGTCAGCTTTCACAAGCTAAGAAGGGTCAATCTGGGTAAGGGCACAGAATGAAACAAAGGGACATCCCAGCCATGGTAAGTGGAAGAGGATGACATTTGCCTTTTTCTCCAAATCTATCCCTTCTCTCTGCCCCTTCTGATGTTTTGGGTTGCTATTCCTGATTTGCTGATTCCTGAATTGCTGAGCTTCAGCTCCAGATGAACTGTTGACTGACCCAAATCCATCTGTCAGGGAGCTTAATATCTTGAGGGAGCTACAGGATGGAACTGGTGTGAGGGTGGAAGTAAACTGGTGACAAATCTACTGCAGCAAGTGCAGCTGGTGCCAATTAAAACTGGGTTTCTCTCTCCAGTGTTATTGTGCCCTATAGCAGAAGACACAGAGATGCATGGAAGGCCTGCACTTCTACTCTGTGCAGCAATAAAGGATGTCATGAAATAATAATAAAACAAAAAGGGCTCACAATTCAGGGTGTGTTGAATCCACAGCTGACTGGCAAGAGAGAAGGAGCAGGGATGTGGTAGTTTGGCATTTAGGAAAAAAAGTAGGAAATATCCACAGAAGTGACTCCTCAAGAGAGGCTGCGGGGAGTTTCTTCTCTGCTTGAGACCTGACCATTAGCTGGCCAGTTTGGAGAACTGACAGCATTTTGGAGCACTGAAAAGTGAGATCACCTTTGTGAATACCACCTTTAAACCAAGCCTGGGAACTTCTTGTCTCTGTCTCTGCCTGGTTTCTAAAAAAGGAATGCAACTTACCTTTTACATTCAAAGCAATGGAGTTTTTGTTTGTTCCCTGTCCTGGGGTGACTTTATGATCCTTGCATCCCCAGTCGCCTGGTTTATGTTACACATTAAAGTTCTGCACCTGTAAGACTGGCTCTGAGAGCAAAGAGGGGGAAGAAGAAACCACAGTTTGTGTTGAGGAAAACCATCACTTCCCCGCATCCTGGGCCTGGACTGTGTTGTCTCCAGCACAGACAGACAGAGGGACAGAGCTCTCTCCTTTGCTTTTAGTTAGTTTTAGCTAGATGAGGCAGAGGAGTTCCCTGGTTCTTTTTTTTTCTTGGATCTGTGCAAACTTGCTGTGGACTGAAAACCCAGCCAAATCCTGGGAGCTCACGCCTGTGGCCCACTGGGGCCTGGGCCTTGGCACTTAACAGCGCTGGAGGGTACTGATGAGAGACTGAGCAAGCTGAGCTACACCACATGAAAAGGACTTTTTCCTGTCCAGCAAACAGTGAGAGGTTTTATTGTTTAATATTATTCAATTTCTGTTAAACAGTTTTTTTCCACTTCTCTCCTAGTAAATCTCTTTTCCTGAACCAGTTGGGGGGAGGGGCTGCTTAGATTTGCTTTTGTGGGGGGACTCCATTTGGAGGTTTTCTCCCAAATTTGCCCTAAACCAGGAGGCTGGGGCTCCAAAGGGAGCTTGCCTTGCATATGAGGAGATGCATTGGCTCATTTAACCATGTCATAATGCCATTCATTATTTTAAAATTTTTAGTTAAACATGAAGCTTGAATAATTCTTGTCTTTCAAAAATATACATGGAAATAACAGTCCTCCCTCTCTCATATTTTTGAGAAATTAGTACTTCCCAATGAAACTGCTTCAGTGACACAAGATTCCTCCAGGACCAACAACACTCTGGAGAATCTTTTGTGTTCCATGGCCCAATTAGAGAAAGTAGAATTTAAATCCTTGTAAATATATGCCTTGCAGCAGTAATTAAATGAAACCTGCCACTGCAAATTCTGCCTCTAAATTAATTCCAATTTTTGGAACAAATGCAACAGGTGAAGTTCAGGCACATGGAAATAAGGGAGATAACCACTGAGCTTTCTCCTCAAGTTGGTTTGGACAAGGGCTGACTTAAGAGCTGTCCTTAACCCTGTACACAAGGACTAGCAGAATTTACACAGCCTGTCCCCAACACACAGTTTCTTTTTCATTCAGCTTCAGGAGAAACATGTATACATACTACAGAGATACATTTGGTTGTCTGAGCCAGAACCAGTATTGCTTGTGTACCAGGAACATCCTACTCTTACTCTGAAGCCTTATCCCATTTATTCGCAATTACTGTACTCCCTGAAAAGAATGGGAGGAAAAAGAGCAAAAAATTACAAGTCCATAGTGTGTCACTAAGGGCTGAAGTGGGGAATGAAAGTGTAATGTCTCTGCAGACAATACTAAATTACTTGGGAAATGTTAAGTATAAGCAACTGCTTCCAAGCATGATTTATTTGGGGTTTTCCTTTTGGGATTTTTTCAGTAATGTAGATTAATTTCCACAGTGAAATGAAGGGAATATCCCTCCATACAATCCACCTCAAGATGAATCATACTGTGTTCTGTTGTGCTGGTAAGCTTTATTGTTTGCTGTGCTGATACAATTATTCAGGATTCTAATG